CATCATCCCTGTGTCCATCAGCACCAGCATCATCTTCATCACCGTCCCTGTGTCCATCAGCACCAGCATCGTCCCTGTGTCCGTCTGTCATCATCTTCATCATCCCTGTGTGTGTCCATCATCATCTTCATCGTCATCATCCCTGTGTCCATCATCACCGTGATCCCTGTGTCCATCATCACCGTGATCCCTGTGTCCATCATCACCGTGATCCCTGTGTCCATCAGCAGCAGCAGCACCATCATCATCTTCATCATCATCATCCCTGTGTCCATCATCACTGTCACCATGATCTCTGTCCATCAGCAGCAGCATCATCTTCATCCCTATGTCCATCATCATCACTACCATGATCTCTGTGTCCACCATTACCATCTTCATCATCCCTGTGTCCATCCTCATCATCATCCCTGTGTCCACTGTCACCATCATCCTCGTCCCCGTGTCCATCACCTTCCTCCATCCCAGGCTGCTCCAAGCCCTGTCCAGCCTGGCCTTGGGCACTTTCAGGGATCCGGGGGCAGCCCCAGCTTCTCTGGGCACTCTGTGCCAGGGCCTCACACTCTCTGAATATTATATTTAAATGCCAAAATAATAGAATAGTGAAATACTGAAGAATTTGAAGTCTTTATCTGCCTTGTAAAGCAGATGACTATTACAATTCCAGTTATTAACCGGTTTTTTTCTCACCTATAATCAGAACAGTAAATTAATAAACAACAAACTCCTCCTTGGGTTAAAGAAGACACAACTTCCAGGACTGGAATTCTGGAGCTGAGCTCTGTAAGGAATAAAAACCAACTAAAATTGCTTCATAAGGATCCTCCTTTTTCCTTCTTTTGTCCCAAAAGCCCTCACATCTCCTTCAGCGCAGTGACCTCCACTAACATGTTACAGCTGTGCTTAAACTCTGCATTTTCTACTCTCCCTCCAACCTCAATCACACTTTTAAACACAGGAGTTTCATTAGCAATGATTTCCAAGAAAAATCCAGGATACCAGGAGCGGGTGCTCTTTCCTTGGCCCATTTAACCATTTCCATGACTCCCTGCAGTGCAGCAGCAAGGAATTATAACCAGATTATAATAAAATAATCCATTACTGGATTTTGTGCCACACGGAGTAATTACAGGTTGGACTCGATCTTGGAGGTCTTTTCCAACTTAAATGATTCTGTGATTCCTGTTCAATCTGTTTGTAGCTGCCACAAGGTGGAAGCATGAAGATACAAGAGAGGTCATTAATGGAGCGCCTAATTACTCCTGGGTTTAATTTGCTTTATTGCCACCAGAGGGAGGAGGAGACACACTGGTGGTTTTCCCGAGAAAACAAAACTCCCTGCGCCCTCCAGCAGAACTGTTCCGAGGTTTTTAGGGACCGCTCACCCCAAGGTTTTTAGGGACCTTGGATCCCCCCCCACCTGGAGCAGAGCTGTCACCTGTTAATGGCTGATCCACGCTGCCTCCAAATCCTTTGGAAAATTCTGTCCTCTGCAAAGTTGATAAAATCTTCCAGAATGTGTTCCTGGAGCGGTCAGTGTTGATTGGACCTAAATAAAAACCTAAACTCCACATGCTGCGTGCAGAACTAATGAATTAATAAATTGTTTTATCTCTGTCCGTGATCCCCGTCAGTCTGGAAGGTCACTGGGAGCGCCTTCTCGCCCACCAAAGGATTTAAGGTGTCCTCGAACTGCAGAGACTCAAAACTGCTGCTCAGAGAGAGAGCACAGAGCAGCTGAGCAAACCCAGCAAGTGGAAAATCAACTCCCTGACAACTCCTGGAACCGGAACGGGAACCAAACCCCCCACGAAATTCCTGCAGAGATCCAGAGCTCGGCGGAGCTTCCGAGGGCAGCACAGGCTGCTTTAAGAGAGGAGCCGGAACCGAACAAAGGCGTTTGGAGAACTTTGCCTGGGGTGACACACGAAGTTGCGCTGCCCAGCTCGGGAACGCACGGGCAGCTCCTCCCCTGGGCTCTGGTCACCGCTTGGCTGCACCTGCGGCGCTCAGCCCTCGCCTGTGACCGGACTGGGCAATCAGCGGCAGGAAAGCGTCGAGCAGAGCGACCCAAGCAGGAAAGTGCATGAACGCAGCTCCGAGCGAGCTTCCGGAGCTCTGTCCAACAGGCAGGAGCAGCGGTTCTGCTCTCCGCGGATCCTCGGAAAATGCCAGAGGCCGGTGCCGGCGTCCTCCTGCTCCGGGCTTGCCTGGCACTGCTAGCCTGGCCCGTCTACCTGCTGTCCTTCCTGGGCATGTGGGAGCCTTTCTGCAGGAAGGTCTTTTTCCCTTTCATCCTAGAAAAGATTGGCGCAGCTCACGAGAAGAAAGCAAAGAAGTACAAGCAGGAGTTATTCCGTAACCTGCCTGATTTTAGGGGCCCCTCCGGGGAGCTGAGGCTGCTGGAGATCGGCACGGGCGGCGGCACCAACTTCCAATTCTACCCAGCGGGCTGCAAAGTCACCTGCACCGACATCAACCCGCACTTCCAGGAGAGCCTGACCAAAAGCATGAAGAAGAACCAGCACCTCCACTACGAGCAGTTCCTGGTGGCCGCAGGAGAGGACCTGCACCAGGTGCCCAGCGGTTCCGTGGATGCTGTGGTTTGCACCTTGGTGCTGTGCTCCGTGCACAGCGTCAGCAGCACCCTGAGAGAAGCACTCCGGGTGCTCCGGCCGGTGAGTACCTGCAAAAAAAAAAAAAAAAAACCCTCCGTGAATGCCTGTAAGGGTGTCTTCGCTGGAGGTATCACGCTACAAGGAAAGGGGGGAAAAAAAAACTCAAAGAAGTTAAAAGGAGTTGGTTTGAGCTTAAAACCCAGACAAAAAAACCCAAACAACAAAACAAAAACAACAACCAAAAAAAACCCCAACAAAACAACAAAAAAAAAAACCAAGTGAAAAAGAGTTGGTTTGAGCTTAAAACCCAGACCAAAAAACAAAACCAAGTGAAAAAGAGCTGGTTTGAGCTTAAAACCCAGAGCAAAAAACAAAACCAAATGAAAAAGAGTTGGTTTGAGCTTAAAACCCAGAGCAAAAAACAAAACCAAGTGAAAAAGAGTTGGTTTGAGCTTAAAACCCAGACCACAAAAAAAAAAAAAGAAGTGAAAAAGTTAATTTGACCTTAAAGCCCAGACCTAAGCTGGTTCCTACATTACTCTGTATGGCTGAGTGCTGCAAAGGGTACTGGGCACACAGCTTAGATTCAGAAGCCTAAGAGCAATATTCTGCTGACTAAAAGTGCTTAAAAAGTTAGCAGCAATCACAGCCCAACATTTAAAGCAGAATGTGGTGGTGTCCCTCCCCACTCACCTGATTTCCCTCGGGTGGGAAGCTCTGATCAAGGCTTAAAGCCCAGTTTTAAATGAGCTGCTTCAGCCACTGTGAAGTGGAGCTGCTCTGTATGGGACCAGACCAGTCTAATTAAACACCTTATTACCGTGGAGTTACTAATGAGCTGCAGATTAAAACCAGCTGGTTTGTTGGGGTATTTTTAAAATGGACTTTCTGCCTTTAAAGTGGCATTTTCATAGAACCATGGGATGGTTTGGGTTGAGAAGGACCTTAAAGATTATTTCATTCCACTCCCTGCCCTGGGCAGGGACACTTTCCACTGTCCCAGGCTGATCCAAGTCCTGTCCAGCCTGGCCTTGGCATTTCCAGGGATCCAGGGGCACCCACAGCTTCTCTGGGCACCCTGTGCCACCCTCACAGGGAACAATTCCTTCCCAAAATCTCACCTAACCCTGCTCTCTGTGAAAAACTGATAGGTTGGAGCAGAATTTACACATTTATCTTAGTTTCCTTTGGAAAAAAACAGTCATGCTAGCAACTAATTAAAACAAAACCCACAAAAAATTGCTGGAATAAAGAGGGATCAAATAAGTCAGTCCTTTGTGCTTTCTGAATGGGTATTTTGAATCTCTGGACGTTTCCTTCTTCCATTAATTCCAACTAAAAGAGGGAAGGGAGAGGCTGGTGGGAACCACTTGGCATGACCCCCACGCCGGCTGTAAGGAGACTCTGTGTTCCCAGGGAGGAGTTTTCTATTTCTTGGAGCACGTGGCCGCTGAGCATTCCAGCTGGAGGTATTTTTGGCAGCAAGTCTATTACCCGACTTGGAAGCTCGTCTTTGCTGGATGCTGCCTCACGAGAGAGCTGTGGAAGAATCTGGAAGAGGCCAAATTCTCGGAGCTGAAGATCCAGCACATCAGCGTGGCGATGCCCTGGATGCCCATCGAGCCACACATCGTGGGGTACGGGGTGAAGTAACCCCTGTCCTGCCCCCCAAAATTCCTCATCGTGACCAACACACCTGGCAGGGCACAGCCTCCTCCACACGTGCCCATATCAGTAACACGGTGAGGGACTTAAATCAGAACCCAAACTGCCAGCTGAGAAGAAAGGGTCAATTTTCTGAGTGTCTCTGAATCACACAATCAACAAAGCTGGAAAAGTCCTTTTGGATCAGAGTCCAACAGCTAACTCAGCACCAGCACCATGCTCACCACTAAACCATGTCCCAAGTGCCACATCCACACGTTTTTTGAACACTTTTTTGAACACTGTCCTGGGCTCCTCCCTGACAGCTCTTCCTCTCAAGAAATTCTTCCTCTTCTCTAATTAAACTTCCCCTGCTATAACTTGAGGCCATTTCCTTCCTGAAGCCCTGGTACTGCTGACTCTGCCTTCCTAGAGCTCAGTGCAGCCAGGGAGGAGCCCAGGACAACAAGAACCAGCCTGGGAAGCAGAAAATAAATGTACTAATGGAAGGGGACTGCTGTCTGTGCCTGGTTTAACTCTGGGACAGGGTTTTTGGGTGATCCCCAGCTGGCATTTCACTGGGGCTCCATCGGGCCTGCTGCCCCCTCCCCACGCTCCCTCATGGCTGTTCCACCTGATGGAACCTGAGCCCCCAAACCTGACCCTTGGCTCAGGTGAGGGTGGGACTCTCAGACCCAAACCTTTGCCCACATGAGGGTGAGACCCTTGACCCATGGCTCAGGGCTGAAAAACCTTGACTGTCTGCAGAGGTGAGAGTGAGATCCCTGATCTTCTGCCCGGGTGAGGGTGAACCCCTTGACCCTCTGCCCAGGTAAAGTTGAGCCCCCTGACCCTTTGTTCAGGTGAAGTTGAGTCCCTGACCCTCTGCCCAGGTAAGGCTGAACTCCCTGCCCCTTTCCCCGGGCTCGGGCAATCCCATTGACCCTTTACCCATGTGAGGGCGATCCCCTTGATCATTTACCCGTGTGAGGGCGATGCCCTTGATCATTTACCCGTGTGAGGGCGCGCTCCTTGCCCCTTTCCCCGGGCTCGGGCAATCCCATTGACCCTTTACCCATGTGAGGGCGATCCCCTTGATCATTTACCCGTGTGAGGGCGCGCTCCTTGTCCCTTTCCCCGGGCTCGGGCGATGCCCTTGCCCCTTTTCCGGTGTGAGGGCGATCCCCTTAATCATTTACCCGTGTGAGGGCGATCTCCTTGATCATTTACCCGTGTGAGGGCGATCCCCTTGCCCCTTTCCCTGTGTGAGGGCGATGCCCTTGATCATTTACCTGTGTGAGGGCACACTCCTTGCCCCTTTCCCCGTGTGAGGGCGATGCCCTTGATCATTTACCCGTGTGAGGGCGATGCCCTTGATCATTTCCCCGTGTGAGGGCACACTCCTTGCCCCTTCCCCCGGGCTCGCTGACGGCGGTCGCTGAGGGCACGGCGGCCCCTCCTGCCCCTCACGGGCTCTCGCTCCGCGCTCCCGCCCGGCCCCTGAGGCCCCAACGTCCCGGTGGCGGAGCCGGCTCGGGCCGTTCGGCGCGGGCTGCCCTCAGGCCCCGCCGCCTGCCCTCAGGCCCCGCCGCCATCTTCGCCCCCGGGCCGGCGATGCGGCGGGCGCGGCCCGCGCTGCCGCTGCCGCTGCTGCTGCTGCTGCTCGCGGGGCCCCGGCCCGGCACGGCGGCCCCCAGGGACCCTGTGGACGGTACCGGGACCCAGCGGGGCCCAGGGGTTGGGGAAGGGGCTGCGAGCCTGAGCGCAGCGGGGTGAGGGGGGGGCGGGCGGATAAACCTCGCGTTTACACGGAAATCTGAGGAACTGGCAAAGCAGCGGCGAGTGAGCGCGCTTAACCGCAGAGCTGTACACAAGAAATACACCTTAGTCAGATAAATAGGTGTTTCGCATTGGAGGAGAAAGTCCTGCGATCCCCAGACGCTGGGGTCTGTGAGGCAGCGAGTCGTGCAGTACAGAGATCTGTGGAATGGTTTTGGCTGGAAGGGAGGGACCTTAAATCCCAGCCAGTGCCACCCCTGCCATGGGCAGGGACACTTCCACCGTCCCAGGCTGCTCCAGCCCCAATGTTCAACCTGGCCCTGGACACTTCAGGGGCAGCCCCAGCTTCTCTGGGCACCCCGTGCCAGGGCCTGCCCACCCTCACAGGGAGGAATTTCTTCCCAATATCTCATCTGACTGTGCCCTCTGGCAGTTTAAAGCCATTGTCCCTTGTCCTGGCACTCCTGGCCCTTGTAAATGGTGTCTCTCCATCTTCCCTGCAGCTCCTTCAGGCCACAGTTAAGTCAGCCCAAAGCTTTTTTCCTCCAGGCTGAACAATCCCAGTTCTCCCGAGCCTTTCCTCACAGCAGATCTGCTCCATCCCTCTAAACAACTCAATGGCCTCGTCTCCAACAGGTCCATGTCCTTCCTGTGCTGTGGTGATGCTGGAGATTTAAAAATCCAAAACCAAACCAAATTAAAAAAACCCAAACAAACAAACAAAAAACCACCACCAGCAGAAACAAAAAACACCCGCCAAAACCCCCAAACACCCAACCAAAACAGAAAAAACCCACCAATCAATAAACACACAGCTGCCCCAAAAGCTGAGTTTTGCCCTGCAGGTGCTCGAAGGAGCCCATTTTATTTTGTATTTTTGCTGTGTATTTTGCAGAGTGTCAGCAGCAGCTGCCGCTGGCCCGCAGTGCTGCATCCTGGATCGTGGGTGGCCACGAGGCCCCGGAGGGAGCGTGGCCGGGGGTGGTGAGCCTGCAGGTGCTGCGTGGAGGTGTGAGGTTCATGCACCTGTGTGGAGGTGTGCTGCTGAGCAGGAGAGCCGTGCTGACCGCCGGGCACTGCGTGGACGGCCGGACGTACGTGCTGGGGGACCCCTGGGCACCAGGCTGAAACCCCTGGGCACCATCTGACCCCTGGGCACCAGGCTGAGCCCTGGGCACCATCTGACCCCTGGGCACCAGGCTGAGCCCTGGGCACCATGGCTGAACACCCTGGGCACCCGGCTGAGCCCCCTGGGCACCCTGGGCACCAGGCTAAACTCCCTGGGTACCATGGCTGAACCCCCTTGGGTGTGGGGAAGGAGGCCAAGGGCACCTGAGTCGTGTCCCAGGGTGGCCAAAGGAGCAGAGCAGGGATTGTCCCCCTGTGCTGGGCACTGTGAGGCCACTCCAGTGCTGTGTCCAGTTCTGGGCCCTCATGATGAGGAAGATCTTGAGGGGCTGGAGGACATCCAGAGCCAGGAACAGGGCTGGGGAAAAGGTCGGGTTGAAAACATCTCCAAAACCATCAAGTCCAACTTGGGCCCCCGCTGTCACCCTACAAATGAACACCACAAAAACCAGCAGCATGTAAAGGTTTCCTTGCAGGGAACAATTCAGGCAGTCATCAGGCTATTTTTTAGATTTATTTTAAGCAGCTCAGTTAACTGGACAGTCACAATGGCAGTAACGTGTGGGCAGCAGCACGTGGACAACTCAAGGGAAATCTGGTGTTGCTCAAAGACACAGAATCAGCATCCCTGAGCTTGGAAAGGCCCTCCAAGGTTGGACCATCAAGTCCAGCCTGTGCCTGATCCCCACCTTGTCCCCAGCCCAGAGCTCTGAGTGCCACCTCCAGTCCTTCCCTGGGGATGGGGATTCCAAACCTGCCAACATCAGCAATATCCAGCCAAGAATCATAAATCAACATCGAGGGATCTTGGCTGTGCCCTTTTGGCCTGAGCCAGAATTACCTGGGTTGTTTCTAACAAAGAACTGTTTGGTTTTGATTTATAGATTTATATTATTGATTTACAGATTTATAGCCCTGAGCCTGGGCTTTTCCAGCTCTGGATCATTCACCCCAGCCTAGTGCTGGGATCATGGCTGGGGAAGGAGCTGCTCCCTGTGGAACAGCAGCTGGAGCAGGAGGATTCTCTCCCGTGCCAAATTTTCTGCTCCCTTCCCCAGCCCACTCCTCCCAGATTAGTTTGGGTTGCTTTGTTCCACAGAGCTCTGATTTTTCTGGTTAATAGAATTTTCTTAACCACTAAAACTCACCACAAAATGTTGTGGTATTTAGATTACAAACACTCCAATTCATTCATTATTCACTATTTCCTTTTTTCTTGTTGATCAGAACCAACAATTTGGCACTTAATTTTGGTGGGTTTTTTTGACAATGTGGTAATAAGTCCTCAGAACAGACTTTTAACTGCACTTACAGCAACTCTGGGGCATTTCAGCTCCCAGCAGTGGTTTATTTTCCAGCCTTTACCACAGTTGCACAATCTGCTTCAGTCAACATCGACTGTGTTGACTCAACCATGACCTGGGGGAAAGTGAAATGTAAAATCTGTGATACTCAGAATTTCATCCTTTATCAGGACTTTGTTACACCGGCTCCTTGTTTGCTTTTAACAAACATTTGCAATATAATGCCTCTTGAAATTATCAATTTAATTTTTACCTTAATTTTGGAGGTTAATTTGAATTTTATAGCTCATCCCAGGCCAAATTCAGATCTCAATGAATGACTTTACCCTTATTTCTAAATTTAATATTAACTTGATAGTCGCTATTTTAATTCTAGATCATGGATTTCCCAGGTCTAGCTACAAGTAGAGTCTTTAGGAGCATTGTGAGGGATGAGCCTCCTTCCATCATCCAGAACAAAACCATGTTTTCAGCTTTTTCAGATTAATATCTCCTGATGGCCTCTGCTGAGATGGGGTGGGAGGCAAAATCTGGGTGTCATCCTAAATCCTTAATCTGAATTTTCCTTCACAGCCATAACCAACAATAGGCAAAGGGAGTTCACATGGGCAGAACGATGAGGCAAATTTGCTCCAGGAAATATTTACTATGGAATTTCCAATGTATATTCCTAAAGGTGCATAAGCAAAAGCAGCCAGGGATAGAGGGGATATCGGGAACAAATTTCTCTCCTCCCTGTGAGGGTGGGGAGGGCCTGGCACAGGGTGCCCAGAGAATCTGGGGGTGCCCCTGGATCCCTGAGGTGTCCCAGGCCAGGCTGGATGGGGTTTGGAACACCCTGGGACAGTGGGAGGTGTCCCTGCCATGGCAGGGATGGGATGAGCTCTAAGGTGCCTCCAATCCAAACCATTCCTGGCTTCCGTGATTCTGTGAAAACAAAGGGTTAACCAACAAAAAACCCCGGGAATTGTCTCTCGCAGGGATCCGTGCTCCTGGCGAGCCGTTCTGGGCGCGCACAACCTGCAGAAGCACGGCCCGCACACGGCCAGGAGGAGGATCAGGAGGATCATCGTGCACTCGCAGTTCAAGAGGGAAACCTTCGAGAACGACGTGGCTCTGTTGGAGCTGAAGTCAGCGGTGCGCTCCAGCCTCTACATCCAGCCCATGTGCCTGCCCCCGGCCGCGCTGGTGCCGCCCCTGGAGAACAGCTCCGACTGCTACATCAGCGGCTGGGGACGCACGGCCGAGAAGGGTACGGGGCACGTCCTGACCCGCACACCAGGGCTGCTGCCCGCGCCAGCTCCCCGAGCTCAGAATCTCACCTTGCGCTTGGATCTTAAAGGCCTTTCCTCACCTTTCGAGGGGGAATGGCACCAAACTGAAAGAGGAAAGGTTCAGATTAGATATTGGGAGGAAATCGGGAAATTAGAAATTGGGAAGAAATATATTCCTGAAGGTGTGTAAGTAAAAGCAGACAGGGATTGATGGGATGTTGGGAGCAAATTCCTCACCCTGTGAGATTGTCCAGTGCAGCTGTGGCTGCTCCATCCCTGGAAGTGTCCAGGGTCAGGCTGGACAGGGCTTGGAGTAACCTGGGATAGTGGAAGGTGTCCCTGCCCATGGCAGGGGGCTGGAACTGGATGATCTTTAAGGTTCCTCCCAACCCAAACCTTTCTGGGATTCCAACTGGATTTGCTCAGGTTATGGCCATCTCATACATTTATCTCTGCAGTGAGGATCTGCTTTCAGGGGTTTTCCACCACAAGCAGGTTAGACCCACACAGCTGTAACCACAGGATTACATTTCCCAGCCTTTCTTCCAAGTATGACATGAAAAAAAGGAAAATAAGCTCAGCTGATTCCAGATTTGTGGTATAGGTCAACGTGGGCTGCTGGAAACAGCTATTTTATTGAAAAGCAACAATTGTGATGGCACATGTTGTGAACTGAGGGGTTCTCATGGGATTTATGAATGGCTACACCCCCTCCAATTCTCTCTTTACTCCCACTGGGCACAGATTCAATGCCAGTTGGTGTCGTGTGTGGGAGCTTTGGGGTCAGCTGGGATTGTTTGATTGTATTTGATAAGGCAGGTGTATTATCATTGATGCTTCTTCTGAGGAAGAATTGCAAAATCTACATCAAACCCAAGTCTTCACACCTTTAACCCAGGGTCTGTGTCATACCCATGTCTAAACATGTCTGGGAACACACCTAGGTTGGCAAAACAAAAAAAAAAAAACAACAAACCACCACAGTAAAATTGCTACACACCCCAGCATATTTCACCTTTCTAAATTCTGTCTCCATTCAAGGTAAAACCTCATCTGTGCTAAAAGAAGCCCAAGTGGGAATCCTCCCTCCCAGCCTGTGCAACAGCTCCGAGGGCTACGCGGGGCTCGTGGATGACAAAGCGCTCTGCGCCGGCGCCTGGGCCGGAGGCACCGACAGCTGCCAGGTGAGAAGGGAGCCCTGCCCACCTGCCCCACCTGCCTCGGGGCAACTCCCAAGCCAGAGGCTCAGCAGCGTCGTCATTGGTAGTAGAGTTAATTAAAATATCGGAAATGTTGACTGGAAAACACGTCAAACGCAAAGGAAGCATCGTGAAAGGGTGGGATGGTGATTGCAAAGCAAAAATGTACACAAAGAATTTGGTGCTATTGGGAAGATGACAGGAATAGGGGAACAAAGGATGAAGAATGCAACATTTTTATGCCACAAAGGTGTCAGTAAATTATGTATGAGACAAAACGCTGGACACTGCACCATGCAGTGTGTGAAGCACACGTATGTCCCACCTGCTCTTACACTGGAGAGCAGCATGGACACAGGTAAGGCTCAGGGATGTGGTTCAGGGACAGGGCTCTAGGAAGTGGCTCAGGGATGTGGCATGATTTCCATTTAAATTCTCAGCAATCACCACCTCTTTCTCGGAAAAGCCAGTTCTCAGGTCCAAAGCACTGGCAGAAGCTGCAGCACCAGCTGGGACATGGAGACATTTTTAATTAAACCCCATAATGTATCCTAAGTGCTTTGTCTGATACACTTCCTGCTTCTCTCAGCAGTTTTCCCTGAGCAGGTGACACGGCCAAGACACAGGATGTGTGCTCCTCACTGTGTCTCTTGGAGCTCCCAGACCGTGTGGATGAATTCCCCAGTTCAGTGAGGAGTGAAAGTTTAGGTTTAGGCATGAAAAGGTGCAGAGAGAAAACAGAACCCGAGTTAAAAGATACTGAAGCAGTGCAGGCCTGGGGCTCTGTTCAGTGCAGTGGCCTGGCCAGAATCAGGAGGAATTTCTCAGTGGAGCTGCCCAGGGAGGTTTGGAGTCCCCATCCCCAGGGAAGGACTGGAGGTGGCACTCAGAGCTCTGGGCTGGGGACAAGGTGGGGATCAGGCACAGGCTGGACTTGATGGTCCAACCTTGGAGGGCCTTTCCAAGCTCAGGGATGCTGATTCTGTGCCTTTGAGCAACACCAGATTTCCCTTGAGTTGTCCACGTGCTGCTGCCCACACGTTACTGCCATTGTGACTGTCCAGTTAACCGAGCTGCTTAAAATAAATCTAAAAAATAGCCTGATGACTGCCTGAATTGTTCCCTGCAAGGAAACCTTTACATGCTGCTGGTTTTTGTGGTGTTCATTTGTAGGGTGACAGCGGGGGCCCCCTGGTGTGTTACCACCCTGACACTGACAAGTATTTCCTCATTGGCATCGCCAGCTTTGGGGTGGGCTGTGGCCGCCCCAAGTACCCCGGGATCTACGTGCGCCTGTCCCAGTACAGAACATGGATAAAAACAAAACTGCTGTTGATTAACAAGACTTGGAACCCCCTGAGCACCACGCTCAGCATCCTCCTGGCTGTGTTACACACAGTGCTGGCACAGATTTTGTAGAGGGGCAAAACATCGTGGAGGTGAGATTAAAAAAAAAAAAAAAAAAAAAAGCTTGGAGAAAAATCAGCTCCCTCCTGATTCCCAATAAAACCAAGAGCCAAAGGATGTGCACTTACTTTTTAGAAGTTATGTTTGCCGTTGTGTTTTTTGTTTCCTGCCTCTGATATCCACACTGACAGGAGAGGAAACAGTAACAGCCTCGGCACTAAGGAAAATTGAATACAGAAATGTCATCAACTGGACAAACACTTCCTTGCCACTCTGTTTCTGTGCTTTCCCAGCCATCAGAAGGTGAAACAAATTCGGTGACACCAGCAGGGTTTGGGGTGGCAGATGCTCCCCCTGCCGGGCAAAAACCAGCAGAGCACACCAAGGTTTTAATTAACCATTTAATTAACCAAACCTTAACTGTGGCTCAGCTTATTGCAAACAAAGAAGGTAAAAAAATCCCTGCAGGAAGGTAAAAGCTGTTCCGCACTCATGATTTTTAGCACTGTGTCCAAGTGCCATTTCCTCCACTAAAATTGACTTATTTATTCCTGGCTGGCATATGATTTGATCCACACAGGTATTCACACCTGGTCACCACCACTGCAGCTCTAACTTCATTAAAAATAAATAGGGACCATCAGAATTATAATATTTTAGCGACTTTATTTACCAAGATCAAAATTTGCAACCATTAATTGTTTCAACAAATATTTACAATTCATGGAAAGCACGGACTGTTTGGAACCAACCAGCAGAACAGCATCAGCTGCTGCATCTCTTACCCTCAGGAATGAGATTTTACTCTTTAAAATCGAGATTTGAAAGTAAATCCAAACTAAGAACTTCATAATCAGTGCTTAAAGAACAAACTTGTGTTACTGTTTATTATTTCCATGATGAAAAACCAGCTGTTCTTTTCCAACACATGATTTTAAGAGTATAAAAATTGACTCCTGGTGTGTCTGGCAGGACAGGTGCTTCCCTTGCTGGATACAAGAAGAATTGGCCACCAGGTTTTTACAGTCTTAACACTTGATATTTTTTTGTTTATTATTGTTCCATATTACAAAAGGAAAAAAAAAAAAAAAAAAAAAAAAGAGAACACAGTGAGGATGAGCTACCACAGAGTTCCCAAAGCAGTTGAGAACTGCAGGTCAAACCCTCTCCCCCATGCCAGGTTACACAGAGCTGAGGGAAGGTCCAGTTCTCTGAGGTGCACGTTCCAGGCTGTTCCATTTTCCTGAAATTCCACCAAAGAAACAGGAAACGCCAGCAGCTCCCTCACTTTAGGACTTCCCCAACCTTATTTCTGATGTGCCACAAAAAGTTTTTTCTGACATGATGACGATCAGGAGTCACACTCCAGCCTGACCTAAAGGAAACATTGGGACTCGTGCCCACAGCAATCAGAGACTTGGGAACTTCAGGGAAAAAAAAAAAAAAATCCTTTTCTAGCCCACTAACCAGGAGATTGTGGAATGCAGATTCCTCATGGCAAAGAGCTCTGCTTGCTACAAGTCCATTAATTTCCAAATTAAATCAAAAATACTGATTGACCATGGGATAAGCATTACACATCCAGGGAGGGAGCAGAGCTTGGAATTCCATCCAGATCTGAGCTAGCACGACACACACAGAGCTCTCACAGTCCATCGTGAAATTCCCACTGACAGAACTGGAAGCAGGATTCAATCCCAGCTATGAAATGGTTTATTACTCATGCAAGAAGCACTGCAGTCACCCACAGCACCTGCCCAGGAGCACGGCCTGGCCACCAGGAGCAAGGCCTGGCCACCAGGATCAAGGTCTGGCCACCAGGAGCCTGTCCTGGCCACCAGGGTGACACCTTGGCCAGGACTGGGTCCTCACCAGAACCATGTCCTGCCCACCAGGCCCACAGCCAGACAGCTCTGGGGGGGTCTCCAAGAATGGAGATCGTGTCAAACTTTTGATTTTCACCTGAAACGAATTAAAATTGTACAAACTGGACTCTCTGACACAACGAGATCTCATGTGCAGATATTGTCAACTCTGGGGAGTAAAAAGCCCTAATTCCTTTTTTTTTTTTCCTCTTTTTTTTCCCCCCCAATACTCTTTAGGATCCGTTTTTTCTGCAAGTTGCCTACAGACATACAAAATTAATTCAAGTATCTCCTACACCAAAGAGGATCTCATTTGACTTTGTACTATCCATAAAAATATATCCTTGAAAATCTGGTTCACAAAATATTTCATTTGGTTACTAAAATGAAAGATATAAACTGTCAAAATACGTATAGAAACTCAATTTCAGGTTTTGTAAAGATCACAATTTAGCTACAAAATATACCAACCATCTCCCTGTTTGCAATATAGAATTTGCTTACAAAGACACCATTACTTTGCAAAATAGCTCCTACCTTACAAAATTAGGCTGGAAATTGTAATTTTCTACTTCCAGCAATAAACCAGAGATTAGAACCTCATAACCCTTTGGTATAGATCTTCCATTTTTTACTACATCATTTTTCTTCTATTTGGTTTCACGTTCCAAAGCCTGGGAGAATCCCCAGCCAGGACAAGCACTGAGTGTTTAATTGTAGATATGATCAGCACACAATTTAATTTTCAATGATTGATGTTTCTCATGCCCAGAACTAAGAACAAACTCTTGCAAAATTAAAAAATTTCAGAAGTTTAATTTTCAGAAATTCTTCAGAACTTTTGTCACCAGTCCTTGTCCCTCCCACTGTGCTTTAAAATCATTGATGTGTTGAATTCTCTACGAAAATCAGCACAATTTTCCCTGCCTCAGACATTTCCAGGACCAAACCTCTTGCTGCCTTCTGCAGATCCTTCCCCAATCTGATAAAAACGCCAAACATGGAAAAAAACCATCCCAACTTTTTCAACTGCCATCTGAGAAAGAGTAAAAACATAATTTATACCTCGAGCAAAGTATCAGCTTTTTTATCATCTGCACCTGTAAATATCAACTTACAGGTTAAAATAAAAATATTTACAGACAAATAACTGAAGGAAAAAGGCTTGAAAAAGAGTAAGAAATCAAAACATACACTGGTTATAAACGTTACTAATAATGTCAGCTATGGCAAGGATTCTGTTTCATCCATGTTTCCTTTGTAACCAAATTTTACCTCCCTTAGCAGAGGTATCCGTAGGAATTTTCAAAAAACTCTCATCACCTGCCTCGCCACGTGTCCTTCCACTGTAGCTGCAATCTTGAATTTATCAGTTTCCAGTTGTGCCAGCAGGAATTTTGGTGAGGTTTTCTTGTTTCCTGTTTGTACTTTGTCACCAACGTGTTGTAAAGAAAATCTATGGAGTCTTTGAGCTGTGAAATCTAGGTAGAAAAGTTTCATTTTTTGACCTTTCATCTAGTTTAAAAAATTCAGTATAAAAAAAAAAATTTTCCTCTGATATTTCACCAGTCCCCAAAGGCTTTTACCTTCTCTTCTTACACACTTTTATGACAGTAAAGATCTTTCAAAGTTTTTAGCTCTTCAATTAGAGTTTTGTTCTGATTTTCCAGGACTGCCACTCGATTTTCCAAACATTTCACATATTCCTTCTTCTTCCTACGGCATTCCCGGGCAGCTTCTCTGCAACAGAGAAGCAGAGTTCTTCATTTTAGGTGTGAGATCTATTTTCTGAACATCACAATACTGACCAATATTGGAACTGGAACAAAACCAAGCCAAAACTGCCTGAGGAGAGCAGGAAATTCTGCAGGATCTGGTAACACCCACGGCAGCCAATCTGCAGGGGAAACCCAGTTTTGGTTTCTCCACACTGTGAGGCTTGAGGGACATGGCTGGGGCACAACTTGCCATGGCTGGGGCAAAAATTCCTGTACCTGGGGCAAAAATTCCCATGGCTGGGGCAAAAATTCCCATGGCTGGGGCAAAAATTCTCATGCCTGGGGCACAACTTGCCATGTTTGGGTGTGCTCAGGTGGGGAAAGAGGCCAAGGGCACCTGGGCTGTACCTGCCATGGGACTGCCCCCCTGTGCTGAACACTCTTGAGGCCCTTCCCTCACTGCAGGTGAAATACAGACAGGCTGGAGCATATCCAGAGCTGGGATGGAGCTGGAGAATTCCTGAGGGAGCTGGGGAAGGAGCTGGAGAATTCCTGAGGGAGCTGGGGAAGGAGCTGGAGAATTCCTGAGGGAGCTGGGGGGGCTCAGCCCGGAGAAAAGGAGACTCAGGGGGGACCTTCTCCCTCTCCACAGCTCCCTGACACGAGGGGCAGCCAGGGGCAGGGGGGTCAGGCTCTGTCCCCAGGGAACAGGGACAGGAGGAAATGGCCTCAGGCTGTGCCAGGGCAGGCTCAGGTTGGACAGCAGCAGGAATTTCCCCATGGGAAGGGTGGTCAGGCACTGGAAGGGGCTGCCCAGGGTGGTTTGCAGTGCCCATCCCTGGAGGTGTGACTCAGTGCTCTGGTGGAGATCTGTCACAGGATTTATAATCCTGGAAGTCTTTCCCAAGCTCAGTGGCTGCAGGATCTCAGCACAGCAAACTCAGCACCCCCTCAGAGCTCAGGTGCTCTCACATACCTGTTCTTCATCAGCCTGATCTCCCGTTTCAGCTGGGGATCGTCCGTCTTGCTGGTCTGTGACGTCAGAGTGACCGGGGACGTCATCACCACGGTCTGGGGCAGGGAGGACGTGGTGGGCGTGGTGCGGATCTGGTAGGTCTGCATGTCCCCAGAGGCAGCTGGGGGACACAGAGGGGCAGCATTAGCGGGTGACACTCAGGTGACAGGGCTGTAACCACATCCCCGGGGCTACTCACTCTGCACCACCACCTGGTTGCTGGGCACCAGGATCTGCTGCCCATCCGAGGTCTGGGCGTACTGCAGGATGGTGGTCCCGGGCTGGGAGCTGCTGGTGTTGGCCATGGTCAGAGTCTGCAGGCCCTGCACCCCGTCTGCCCCCGGCCCTGCCAGCTGCAGCCCGTTGGCTGCGATGGCAACTGCGAGGGAAGGACATGGACAAGAGGGTTTGTAGAGCACAAAATAAATCACAGCATCCTAGGATGGGTTGGGAGGAACCTTAAAGCTCATCCAGTGCCATGGGCAGGGACACCTCCCACTGTCCCAGCTGCTCCAAGCCCTGTCCAACCTGGCCCTGGGCACTGCCAGGGATCCAGGGGCACCCACAGCTTCTCTGGGCAACCGTGCCAGGGCACCCCACCCTCCCAGGACAGAGAGGAGCACCATGAACACCAAGTGGGAACATCAAAGGAACAAATCCTAATTTTCTGTACCTCTCTGACACCACAGGAGCCTTTTAGTGGGTCCTATGACTGATATACATATATATCTATAAATATATCTATACATCTATATAGGCGTCTTCACTGACATGTTGGGTTAAATCCAGCAAAGAACAGCACTGTGTGCTCCATACCAACACCCTTAAATGTCTTAATGCAAAAAATTAAAATTACAAGGCACTGAGTCCGTAAATACCAGTTACTTCTATGTACTAACTTTATTGCCTACTAGATAATAACCAAATTCTGTCCTTCATCTTGCTCAAATATTTAAGGAAATCTGTTTTTTGAGGCAAGTTGAAGAAAAGCTGTGAGGATATTTTGGATAACTTACTGTACTGTCCAGTGCTTGTCTGGTAGATGGGCGTGGGGACAGACATGGAGGTGACAGTGGAGACTCCAGGACTTTCCTCATCTCCTTTTCTATCCCGTGTGTCTTCAGAAGAAAGATCTTTCAAAATTTTTCTGTGAAAAAAAAGGAATCTGACATTTGACTGCACTCCTGACTTCAGGAAAATGATACAACTGAGTAAAATTAACAGCTGGTGAACATTTTGCCCTGTACAAAATCCTGCTGAGGCCAATCTCCACTTAGTGGAGTCAAAGTTTCCTCACAGCAACGATGGCTCAGAACGTTCAGTGCACGAACAGATTCACTGCATGTTTCAAGGGAAAGAAAACAACCTGGAGGGCAGCAGAATACTGCAAAGCATGGGGAGAGCTGGTTTGGCTCCAAATAAAAACCCCAAGTGTGTCACACCCGTACCGGTAGGATGGACGACGAGCCAAGATGCCTCGAGCCTTCTGTGAGGAGCCAATGCTGTCTGAGGAGTCCTGAGAGTCCTCACTCTCAGACAAGGAAGATACCTGGTGAGAAAGGGAACAGGAACACCAGGTCAAACACAGAAAGCACCTGGAAACTTGTAGGTACAAGAGGAGCAGTGGGGTTTGTTGGTGAGAATGTAAAAGTGCAATGAAAATCATATTTAAGGCAGCAGCACGTCAGGGAGTAAATACACAAAGTACTATCTACAATTTTCTTTATTCCACTGTGTGCTCATCCAGTTCCAAGTGTTATTTTGTCTCTGATGCTCCTTATTAGTGAACAAAACATTTATTTGTTCTTATCCATGTGCCAGTAACAAAGTGCAGAGGAATGCACAGAGCTCTGGGAAAAGCCTCTCACTGAACTCAGACACAGAGCAGCCTATGATCAGCAGGGAAAAAAAAAACCCTGCTCGTGTTGTACCCCTTTTTTCCCCTCCCAACAAAGCCACAATGCTCATAAATTACAGAAAAGGAATGAATCCAGTCAGTGCAATGAGGGGGAAGGAAAAGGAAAGAGACTTTAACAGACACGAGCACCACCAAGCAGCCAATGCAGACGTTTGAGAGCTTTCAGCAGTGACACGTTCTCCTCTCCCTGCTCTGATGTTTTTGTCAGCACTGCCAGCTGGCAATCCCTGCCAGGTATCTTCTCCTGGGATCAGTTTAGGGTGGTTTGAGGAGAGGGGTGTGGGACAAGGATCGGGGACAAACTGCTGGGCTTTAGGGCAGCTCCTCCCTCCCCTGGCAGGGGGATCCCAGGGGAACTCCAGGTCCCCAAGGGCTCTGCAGCAGGGGCTGAGTGGAGCAGGAACAAACTCACTCAACTCCCTGGGTACCTCTTGGAAGGGACTCTTACAAAAATCACATGGCAAGGAGTAAGAGACACAAGGAGAGACCTGGGTACGACCAGAAGGGAGGACAGGACAGCATGAGAGCACCCAGCAGCTCCCTCCCCTTCAGGCAGCTCCACCTTTCCCAAACACTCATTTTAATCCACTATGAATTATTCTGCTATTCCCCACTCCCCTCCTTTGGCTGCCAAGGCACCACCTGCAGAGCTGTGGGCTGGATTTGTTAATAAAGGGAGGTGACACCAAATGGTTTCGTTCTGACTCCAAAGGTGACTTCCCACCAGGAAGGATTTCGAGCCCAAAGGAGGGAATCCCACAGGGCTGTCCTTGGATTGCTCACTGTCCCTGACAGCTGGGGCTGAGAAGTCTCTGAGCACCTTTTCACACCTTCCCACCTACACGACTGCAGAGGTGGGGGGTGTTTAAAGCCCTTCTGGAGTTACCTGCACGGTTTGCACCTGAGGGGAGTGGATCACAGAGGAGGACTGAGCTGTCTGAATGACTCCCTGGACCTGGACTTGCTCTCCAGGAAGCTGAACCACTGTGAGAGGAGCAGAACCTCTGAGAGACATCTACAACAGACCAAAAACCATCAGTAAAACCTTTGTGCCACGGGACTCAGGAAGTGCAACACGTGGAGGAAAACTGGTGGAGAACCCAAATTAGCAGCTTATTTTAATTCTAATTAAGTCACTGAAGTACCTTTAAAGATGCACATTTTTTTAGACATTATTTGCATATGAAAAACGCTGAAACAATTCATTTCCTTTGGTTGGAGAAAAATCAAATGTGGTATTGTGTCACATAAGCAAATATGTGATATTATGTAACATATTAAAAACGTGAAAATGCTTCAGCTTCCCAGAGGGTTTGTAGTTTTGATGTTGAACTCACATAAGTCTTTGCACTTTAATTCAATTTATATTGTTCACATTTCCATATGTTCACAAAAAAAATAAAAATTCAAGTTGTTTGCTGTATTTACTGTAAGTAAATAACCACCTTTGCCATGAAATTTCTTCACTACTTTTATTAATCTGAAATACATGAGAAGATGAAGGGATCATTAAAATACACACAGCTGAATTTCCAGTCAATTTTGTATCATAACTCATGATACTAAGGGACAATCAGAACTTTATATAAAAACAGATCAGGAAACCAGCCTGGAAACAAACCCCAGCACACCTGCTGATATTCTCTCCTCTCCTATTTCTAAATTTTGCATCAAAATTCCAATTGCCTCCACAGGATAAACAGTGGATGAGCTGTAAAACATTTGCTTTTTCCCAGGAAAAGCCTCCTGGAAGGATTCACTCCCTCACCAGTTCTAAAGGATTCAGGTTAAAGCTCTGACAAGGATGTCACCTTAGAGGAAGAATCTCAAATATTCAAGTTGATATGGTTTATTAGGCTAAATATGTTCATGTTGGGCTAAAATCCAAGTGTTTCCATGGTGCTGAGTACCCAGGATTGCTGCTACTACAAAAAAAGAGCTGGAAATGCTTTTTCTAAGGAAAAAATGAAACCAGGCCTTCATTTATTCCTGAGCAGCTCCTGTGGTCGACTAAAGCCAGATCTGGGCTGCACTTTGCACTGTACAAACACAAAAATTACCTTTTTAAACACTTTTAAATTAATTTTATGCCATCCACCATCAAACAAACACACTTTTCTCAGCCTCTTTCTGCTTTTTCTTCTCTGAATTCTTCTCAGAATGCACCCATAAGTTTGCAGCACATAAGAAGTGGCTCTGAACTCCCTGAAATGTTTGCTGAGATCCAGCCCAGGCTTTACCTGTTGAGCAATATGAGAGAGCTGAGCTGCCTGGAGGGTTGTACCTTGTACAGCTGAGGGCTGGGACGGAACAGAGCTGCTGCTGCCACCCTTGTGCACCTCTTCCATCATCAGCTACGAGAAAAACCAGTTAAATCCAGTTAGTAACACATCTGGACAGCACACAGGTGCCCAGTTCCACCCGTGTTTTATGCCCTCAGTGCCTGGTGATTCTGGTCTCACTGGGACAAGTTCAGTGAGCTCTTTGCCCTCCAATTCTCAATATCCCACCTAACCCTGCTCTCTTTCAGCTTGAAGAAAACCAAGATTCTTTATACTAAAGAATATCTTTCTCTAAGTAAGATAATTTCCAAAAATATTTTAGCCAAGCTACCAGCCAAACCTATTTTAAACTATCTGAAGGTGTATAAAAACAAACCAGGGACTCAAATCAAAGTGAAGAGAACACAGTTTTGAATTTTAAGAGTCACTCTGTCTTGATGTAATGCAGTCAGCAACACTTCTCTCATGTCTAAGATTTTATATTTAACTGTTGAGCGTCTTGCCAGCATCCCCCCTCGGATTCTGGGGGATTCAGGGATGCACAAATGCAGGTTTCAGCTGGGGGGAGTGGGCGGACCAGCCTGGAGCATTAAAAGCTGATGGGTGAGTGTTAAACATTTTGTCACAGAAGGTTTGAAAGTGTTGAAAGGACAGTTGCTATGAGACTGGAAATTACATTTCTTTCTGTGGAAATGTGAGTCATTGATTTTTCCCTGCTGAGCTGAACCACAGCACGCAGCCCAGAGATCACTCCTGGGGGGAAGAGTCAACCAAGAGCACGGTCCTGCTCTGAGGGGTCCAAAAATGTCACTAAAGCAGGGCTTTGTGGGGACAAAACCGGGTGACACAAAAACTACGAGAGATGGAGGATTGGGATTGTTCAGCCCGGAAAAGAGAAGCTCCAGGGTAACCCAACTGTGCCTTTGCAGCCCCTGAAGGAGCTGTAAAGATCATTTACAAGGGTCTGGAGTGACAAGAAAAGGGGCAAGGGCTTCCCACTGACAGAGGGCAAGGCGGGAAGGGATTTTGGGAAGGAATTCCTCCCTGAGAGAGGCTGGGGATGCCCCTGGATCCCTGGCAGTGCCCAAGGCCAGGCTGGACAGGGTTTGGAGCAGCCTGGGACAGTGGAAGGTGATCCAGGCAGGGGCTTGGAACCAGACGTTCTTTAAGGTCTCTCCCAGCCAAAACAAATCCACGGTTCTGTGTGTCCCTTCCAGCACAGACCAAACCTTCCCCAGACAATGATGCAGCTTCCCAACATCCTCATCCTGCAAACATTCAAGATTAGGAGCAGGATTCATGACAAACCTGCAGTGGACACAGCTTTATCTGTCCTCAGACACAATTTTAGCTTTTATAAAGAAAATCGACATTTTGCACCTTGCAAAGGTTAACCAGGGCCCCTCAAACCAAAATCCAGGCAGCAGCAAAAATGACAATAAATTTCCAGTGCTACAGAAACCTCCATTCATTTCTGTAGTGCTAAACCACAGCCTGCCCTCCCTGCTATTCATTTCTCTACCTTAGTGTCCCATGAAAGACTCAAAACAGCCTGCAAGAAAGAGTGAAACCAATAAAAGCCCCCAATAAACACCCCAGAGGGTTTTGCTGACCTTTCTCTCACTGGTGTGAAGTTCTGCTTACAGGAATAAAAGATAAAGTATTTCCCATTAGAAATAGGGGTTTTGAGTTTAATTCATCCCTGCTTGCTCCAGAATATTTAATTATTCATCCAACATCGATCAATAAAAAGATTTAGCACAAGGATTGCAACAAGATGGAAATTCATCCTGCACCTCACAGCCTCTGGAGATGTGAGTGTCACACAAGACTTTAACTTTATTTAGCTGGAAAACCAGGAATTTCCCCTGGATTAGCATCTACCTGTGTGAAGAGAGAAGTTCTAAGGAAAAACCTCAGCCTGCAGGTGTAAAGCTCTGACAAGAAGCACCAAAAAGGATAATACCTGAGCACAGCCACCCCCAGGTGAAACTGCTCTGACAGCTGCATTTCATTTATTTAGCTGAAAGCTTTGGGGTGAAGAAAGAATTCTGCAGTCACAGAACAATGACAAGAGGAGCAACACCCAAGGCTTTATTGTCCCAATCTGTACAAACACCACTTCTTTATAACCAGACAGGTAAGGGTGGTGATTTTCACAGCAAACCCGAAGTCTCCGTGCAGCTCCACCTCAAAAGTCATTTCACTGAAAGGATTTTGCAACAGCAGCTCGTGAAATTTGCTTTAAGGACTCCTAAAGTTCTGGGCATCATCTCCCTCCAGACAAGAAAATTTATCCCACTTCAAACCTGAGCCTCAAAATCACCTTCCTCTGAAACGTAAACAGCAATGTCACAGTTCATGGGAGCATGTTTCATTTCTCAAAGTTCACAGACACCCTCCAAATGCCACGGGCTTCAGTGTGCATGAACCACCACGCAAAACCATCAGAAACACATTAATTAAAAAAGAAAACTCACTCCCAAAACTTCCACTGATTCACTAATTCTGTAAATTCTCCAAAATGCTACACAGAGCACCAGAGGGAGAAACCAAGTTCTGTTTTGCCCTTGCAAACTGAGCAGAGGAAAGGTTTGAATGATGTTTCATCAGTGAAATATTCTAAGAGCCAATTGATTATATTTTTTATAACATCAGAAATAAACGAATATCTGACACAGAATGTTATTCTCAAACAGTGACAGGAGTCAAATTCTGACATTTACAAATTGCACAAAGGGATTTCAAAACATTTTCTTAAATGATACTTAAGTAATCTGGGGGAATTTGGGCTCCTCAAAATCAGCTGCTTTCAGCAGTGAAAATATTATTCACCTAATTTTGCCATTAAGACACTTGGAGAAAATTTGCTCACCTAGAAAACTGACAGAACTCCATTTTTTCCCCCCAGAAATCAATAAAAGACACAGCAAAGGGCAGCACATCCCAAGATGTGCCAGAAAGCAAGTCACCGTGCCCAGTCACTGCTCCAGATTCCATCCCACAAACACACAAAGTTATTCCTTAAAACTCCAGGAGCACTTTCCTCATAGGATTTCTCCCACTCTCCCCACCCAGCACCAGCCTGGACAGGAACTTCCCATGACAGGACCTTCAGAAATGAACGCTGCAGCCTAAAAATATCAGTATTTTATCCTCATCGGGGACCTGATAGTTGTGAGAGAAAAACAGCTCAGAGATCATTTATATCCCATTTCTATCATTTATATCTCGCCGCCCTGAATCCACCCGATCCTCACGGAGCACTGGAACCAAGGCTCAGACACGGGGCTGGGGGGAAATTCATAGAGGATAGGTAAGGACGCTCATTATCGGCGGTTTAGTTACGATAAAGCCGAGTTTGTTACCGGGCAGGATTCGGGGATCAAACACCGGCCGGAGCCGTCACCCCCAGACCCTTCCCCGCATTCCCGAGGGGAGCGGGGCACTGAGGGATGCAGGGCCCGGGACACCCCGGTCACCTCCCAGAAACCTTTTATGAGGGGGAGGCGGCACCGGGACGGGCCCCATCACCCCCAGGCCGCCTATTTTTTTTTTTTTTTTTCCCCCTTCATCCCCGGGGCGAGCGGGCGCGGGCCCGGCAGCAGCCCCAGGCCGCAGGGCAGCGCCTCAGGCCCGGCTGCGCTGCGAACTCCCCGCGGTTTC